TTTCCCGTTTCACAGTCCTACATGTATATTGAATTTTACCCACAACTCAGAAAGTTGACCAGCGTGGGGTATGCTTAAACCTCTAATTCTAGATGTCAGGTAACTTACTCGTGTTTATGTTGGATTGCTGTCTGATTGACGAATATCCGTCATTTTATATATATATATATAACAAACAAATTTAAATTATATATATATATATATATATATATATATATAAAGAAAAGTTAAGTAGAATCTGTATGCTGGTAACATATAAGAAAATTAATTAAAGAACCTTAGTGAGCGCGCTCACATACCCCACGTCCCCACATTGTCACTGGAGAAATAAAATAACTGTAAGAAAAAAAAATTGTATAAGAAAAAAAAATTGAATCATAATTTCCTGTCGATATGCACATCTACATAGTATGTCCTTATTATCTACAAAGTTTCATGAAATTCTGTTGTGTGGGTTCAGAGGAGTTGGGATGACAAACTGTTGCAGAGGTATATTGAAGCAAATAAGTTCAAAGGGGCGTAACTCCTAGAAAAAAAATTGAATCGTAATTTCCTGTCGATATGCACATCTACGTAGTATGTCCTTATTATCTGAAAAGGTTTCATGAAGTTCTATTGTGTGGTTTGAGAGGAGTTGCGATGACAAAAGGTTGCAGTAGTATATTGGGCAAATAAGTTCAAAGGGGCGTAACTCCTGGAAAAAAAATTGAATCGTAATTTCCTGTCGATATGCACATCTACGTAGTATGTCCTTATTATCTACAAAGTTTTATGAAATTTTGTTGTGTGGTTTCAGAGGAGTTGAGATGACAAACTCTTGCAGTAGTACATTAAAGTAAATAAGTTCAAAGGGGCGTAACTCCTAGAAAAAAAATTGAATCGTAATTTCCTATCGATATGCACAACTACATAGTATGTCCTTATTATCTAAAAAGGTTTCGTTAAATTCTGTTGTGTGGTTTGAGAGGAGTTGCGATGACAAGAAACAGGACTGACGGACGGACAGACAGACGGACGGACAGACGGGTCAAAAACATTATTCCCTCCGCAACTCGTTGCGTGGGGTATAATAAAAGATAATAACGGTTTCAATTCATCACTTTTACTAGCGCTTTCACTGCTTTCACAGATCTTCAGGTAATATATATATATTTAAATTTGTTTTTTAGGGATGCATCCAGTTGCACCTTTTCATTTAAAATATATTTCCGTGAAGTAATCTCAAAAGAATACTCACTTCAATAAAAAATTAAAGAACCTTAGTGAGCACGCTCACATACCCCACGTCCCCACATTGTCACTGGAGAAATAAAATAACTAAGAAAAAAAAATTGTATAAGAAAAAAAAAATTGAATCATAATTTCCTGTCGATATGCACATCTACATAGTATGTCCTTATTATCTACAAAGTTTCATGAAATTCTGTTGTGTGGTTTCAGACGAGTTGCGATGACAAACTGTTGCAGAGGTATATTGAAGCAAATAAATTCAAAGGGGCGTAACTCCTAGAAAAAAAATTGAATCGTAATTTCCTGTCGATATGCACATCTACGTAGTATGTCCTTATTATCTGAAAAGGTTTCATGAAATTCTATTGTGTGGTTTGAGAGGAGTTGCGATGACAAAAGGTTGCAGTAGTATATTGGGCAAATAAGTTCAATGGGGCGTAACTCCTGGGAAAAAAATTGAATAGTAATTTCCTGTCGATATGCACATCTACGTAGTATGTCCTTATTATCTACAAAGTTTCATGAAATTTTGTTGTGTGGTTTCAGAGGAGTTGAGATGACAAACTGTTGCAGTAGTACATTAAAGTAAATAAGTTCAAAGGGGCGTAACTCCTAGAAAAAAAATTGAATCATAATTTCCTGTCGATATGCACATCTACGTAGTATGTCCTTATTATCTACAAAGTTTCATGAAATTCTGTTGTGTGGTTTCAGAGGAGTTGCGATGACAAACTGTTGCAGAGGTTTATTGAAGCAAATAAGTTCAAAGGGGCGTAACTCCTAGAAAAAAAATTGAATCGTAATTTCCTGTAGATATGCACATCTACGTAGTATGTCCTTATTATCTGAAAAGGTTTCATGAAATTCTATTGTGTGGTTTGAGAGGAGTTGCGATGACAAAAGGTTGCAGTAGTATATTGGGCAAATAAGTTCAAAGGGGCGTAACTCCTAGAAAAAAAATTGAATCGTAATTTCCTGTCGATATGCACATCTACGTAGTATGTCCTTATTATCTACAAAGTTTCATGAAATTTTGTTGTGTGGTTTCAGAGGAGTTGAGATGACAAACTGTTGCAGTAGTACATTAAAGTAAATAAGTTCAAAGGTCAAAGGGCGTAACTCCTAGAAAAAAAATTAAATCGTAATTTCCTGTCGATATGCACAACTACATAGTATGTCCTTATTATCTAAAAAGGTTTGGTGAAATTCTGTTGTGTGGTTTGAGAGGAGTTGCGATGACAAGAAACAGGACTGACGGACTGACGGACGGACAGACAGACGGATGGACAGACGGTTGGGTCAAAAACATTATACCCTCCGCAACTCATTGCGTGGGGTATAATAAATAAGGGAAATGAAACCTCTTCTCGCATGTTGCACTTTGTGTAATTGTTCTCTTCGACAAAATACTGCCTTGAACTCAATTTTGGTATAAATATAAAGAAGCCACATTTGGTTCTTAAATGGATATTTTTTAAACACTTAAAGCTAGGTAAAGCCTATCTCTTGATATAGGCTCTATTCGGCAACTTTTAGAGACCGACCGTGCTTGGGCTGTATAGCCAGTCAAGGTCGCTAAACTCTCATTATCCGTTTAGAGATTTTCTGAAAATACGATGGTTACTGTCTCATTAGAAACTAAAACCTTATCAAATATGGTGGCCTTCGGCTGTCATCTGCTCTTTTCGGGTTGTTGTTTCTTTGACATATTCATCATTTCCATTCTCAATTTTAAAATAACTAAAAATATGATACTAGTAAACAGTTGTCAGATCAATATTCATTTAACAAGCCAGTGCATTGATACAGGTTATATTCTACTGAATTTACTATATCCGTTATTATTACGTAATTATATAAGTCCCGTGTCCAGGTAAAAATAACAAAATGGTTTGTATGTCAGGTGAAAGTGACAACGGGTGGTATGTATACTAAAATGTTTATCGTCTTCCATTATACATGAGGGTGTGGATGGGGGTTTATAGAATAGAAAATTATTGACCAAAAAATAAAGAATACAAAAAATAACCAGACAAATATATAGAAAAGAAAATAATGAGGTACTAGAATATATGGAATAAAGAATGATCGACAAAAGGTATAACGATTAGAAAAAATTGCCTAAAATGATAGAATACAGAAATAATGAATCCCTATTCAGACCCTCATAATCTGACGATGACATTTACCTTTAGGACAATTATGGGCATGTGATAAAGTTTTAGAACCACAGTGATTTTTTTTTTACAAAAGTTCACATATATAAGCTAATTTTTACAAAATCAATTTGTATATGTAATAAAAATTATACTATGTGCTAAATTTAAAAGACAAATGGGTTTGAATTATTCGACATTTACTTATAACATTTCGGTTTCTTGGACATTTTTGTCCTTTGAACAGACATCCTTAACTTTTTTGTTTCAAAAGATAAAGGTATGCGGATTTCAGTAAAGAGATTAGGAATATCTTCGTTATAAAATTGGGCTCTACATTTGTGTAACAATTCTTTGTTAATATTTAATTTTTGTGAAAAGAAATTGATACAAGAAGAAAAAACGGTATTTTTGTTGTATATTTATCTAGTTAGAAAAAAGTCGGTAATTTCTTCATAAAAGTTGCAACGAATAATCTTCACACAGTATCAAGCAAAATGTCATGTCTAAAATGAGGGGGCCATAACTGATAACACTTTTTCCTTAAAAAAATGAAAAAATAATTATTTGGATAAGAAAATAACCCAGATATTTAGATATATTAGAATAAAAATATTTTTTAAATTTTTTAAAAGTCATTTAATATTCATCGGTTTATGATTAAATGAAAAATATAGAAAATTGTTGTTGTTTTTAAGGAAGGAAAATAATGTTTGTCCCGAGAAAAAAGCCCCCCCCTATAAATGATCATTAATTTACCTAAGTGGGGGCTTAAATTTGGAGACCGATCGCGAGGTCTGACTGCCATAAACAACAGATAACGAACAGCAAACAGTGGATACACCAATTGATATGTATGAAAGACAACGGCGGACACAAAATGATTGCACTGAATAATTTCAACTACCATTGAGATCGTTTTTTTTCAAATCTCCTTATCAAATTAGAAATGCATTTTAAAAAACCTTGGGATATCTTTTACAGTTTGGAATTGGAATTGGAATTAAAAATTGCATTTCCCAAAGAGTTTCAGGTAAAACCCTGAGAATCTCACATCCTAGAAATTTGAAGTGCCAGGATGTTTTTAAAAATATGTATGAATTTTATTACATACTTGAAATTGTATAAGGAACATAAAAAGATTCAGTATGTTTACTGTACAAACAAACATCAGACACAAAGTGATGGATACAATTGTGGCTTATATTGTTTAATTCATTTTTACTGAGAGCAAAATTTGATTGATTGATTATTCAGTGGTTGTTTAAACGTCCAGTGGCAAAAATTTCATGCATATTCAGGACGAAAAGTCGTTTCAGAAGTATATTATGAAGTATTTGGTATTACAAATGTTTAAATTTTCTCATTATTTGGTAAATTTCATTTTCTTAGCTATTTCTAATTAATTTGTACGAATCAGATTTTCTGGGGGGAGGGTCAATGCATTTGAATAGGAACATATGGTTAAAACCACCCCTTTTATCCTGGGTTGAGAACCCTCTTTTTAAAAATGGCTGGAATCACCACTCTTTAAAACGTAGCAATTTATAAATTATTTATATTAAGTAGAATTATAAAATCGATGAGTTTTATAATTTGACAACACTTATTGATATTGGAAATACTATACTACAATTAATTTATTTAATACATGGAGTGTTTAGTAAAACTGTCGACCAATCAACACAGAAAGCGAGATATCTAAAATTTGTATACCATTATAGATTTTCATTATCATACATCAATTTTAAATGCAATTCCAAATAAAATGGCTTTGAAAACCGTGTATTAAGCGCTTATCGTTCATTCACCGTGCCTGTATCGTGTGTTCATCATTCATCGTGCATCGTGTGTGTATCGTGCGTTCATCATTCATCATTCATTTTTCATTAATCCTACGTGTAAAGCTCATCACTCATCGTGCGTGTATCGTGCATTCACCGTGCGTGCGTGTATCGTGCGTGCGTGTATCGTGTGTGTGGTCAGTTTGAATTTTAGAAGGTCTATATAAAAGGCCCCGAAATGGTCCGGGTACACAGTTATCTTCCCTCAATTTTCGTTGTCCACAAATATAGTTCCCTTTAATTTCAGTATATTTTTTCTTAATTTTTTTTTTTGCCTTTCCTTTGAATTTTTTCCCCTATTTTTGCTTTTATGTGAATGTAAAGTCATCTAAGATAATTTCTGTAAAATTTCTTTTTGATATTTTGAGCAGAAATGAGTGATTTGGTTGGGTAAACATAGGTGTAATTTCCTCTTTTCGGAAGCTCTCTGGCTTAACCCATACTGGTGTCCTTGTGTTTTGTGTTGCCAAGAGAAAATGAGCCGATGAAGTTTTCTAATTTTTTGATATGTTTTGTGGTTAATGCCAAACTTTATGTACACCAAATCTTGTTAGAAAAGCGCAGGTGGGATTTTTTTTATTTATCATTATGTTATAATAGACAGATAGGGGAAAATAACTGTGTACTCGGACCTAAGAGGCAGAACCCACTTTATCTAAAAATCGACTTTGTGGCCCCCTGATTTGCTCAATTTGCCTCAAAATTGAAATTAACAGATAATTTATTGTTTATTTATAGAAAATATGAACAAAAAATTTTAAATTGCAAAAAAAAACAATTTTTGACCTTCTGGTTAAAATGTTTTTACTTGTTGACACTTTTGATTCAATTTTGCTAACAGGGGTTCATAATTTTTCTCTTTTTGGGGCAAATTACTACACATACAAATGTAAAAAAAGTTCTTTAAAGTTTAATGGAGGGAATAATACAAAAATATTCAAGAAAATTGTCAGAAAATTCAGCCCCTGGCCAAAATGGACATTGTCTGATTTGGACTGGGGCTTGTACACCAAATGGAAAATATGGGGTGATAAATTGCAAGCTTCCCAATGCCGGCGGGTGGAAACAAATGCATGTACACAGACTTGCGTTCATGATAAGGCATCTTAATTTCCAACTACCTAATTTTGATGTCTCACACCTGTGCCACAACACAAAATGTATAAATGCTGATCATCTTGTGTTAGAGCCACACGGCTTCAACAACAGTAGAAAAACCTGCATTTCGTGTGGTCATTGTCTTGGGCACCCAGACCCTTTGCCACCTTGCATGGTACACTTGAAGATGGCAAACAATAATATTGGTATTATTTATATTATTTATCTTTTAAGGTCTATTTATTTATTTATTTATTTTTCTATCTTTTAATTATTTTATTGATTTAGACAACAATTTCAAACTTCTTTTTGAAAGATATGGTTGGTCCTTAAAAGGACCTTTGGTTAATATTATGTGCTGCTGGATGGCTGGCTGGCTGGCTGTCATCTAAGGTGCAGGTGGAAGTGGCCTTTTACAGTTTTTACTATGGCTTAGCAATGCAGGAACCGGGTCTAACTGTCCTTTTCTGTAAACATCACACTTCTTTCGGCTTTGCTTAGCTTCTCTGTGTTCCAATATTTTTTCACCACTCCGAGTTAGCCGTCTATGTTTAACTTCAGGTTTTTTTTCATATTCTTGTTTGTAAGTGTAGTCGCTGTCCATTTTGCTCAAAAACTGTATACTGCTCTCCGACAAATTAATCCCAAGGTGTTCACACTTCATTTTGGCTGATGTTCCTGGCTTGTTGTTGTTATGGTGTATTCCTGATGCCAATCTTGCTTGCATGCCTCTTGAATGAATAACATTCTTCGGTAAGTTGACACTGAGGGCTCTATGAACACCTTCATTCTTATTGGTGGTGTCATATAACTTCATGCTGTTTAATGCCTGCTCACTTAGCTTCATCTTCAATATTTCTTGTAGTAATAATTTGTCTTTTTCATCCATTTGCAGGACAGTGATATTGTAGCATCCTAGATACTTGGACCGAGTCCACCAGTTATAACCCTCATCGCCGGTACAAACTACAGAGTACTGTTTACACATGGAGCAGTCACCATCATAACATCTGAGTGTAGCCTCCAGGACTTTGGGTAAATCTTTACACACATCTTCTGTTACTTTGTTGTGCTTCTCCATTAGCTGTCCAATGATCATTGAGCTCCTGCACTTCACATCTTGGCTGAACGCTTTCTTCATTTCCATCCTTATCTCTTTCGTACGCCCATAGAACATGGATTCACTGAACTTAGCTCTCAGTGATGCCCGAACCTGTGACTGTCCAAGGTGTACATAGTCGGCTAGTCGTTCCACTTTCCACATAGGATGTAGGGCTCTAGTTGCATTGTCTATTCCTTTAGCTGCCCGTCCGTCTCCATCAGTTGTGGCGTTCTTCACCAGGATGTCTTGAAGAGCAAGCTGTATACCAATTTCCTTTCCCATCTCATACTCAGACAATGGAGCTGCTCTGTGTAGGTTTGCGGTGCAGTCTTCATGACCATTGGGACATTCCACTTTAAATCCTTTTCCTCTCAACCAGGCCCCTTTCCAGCACATCTGATTCTGGGCAAATGATGCCACAATATATTTCTTTTCTGTTGTTGTCTCCATGGCAAGTGCAAAACCTTGGGTAGCATTTAGTCCAGGTTTCTTTTGACTGTTTATTGTCTGACTGTTGTACCTTCCGTCGACTGTGACATTGATTTCATTCTCTGCAAGTCCCCTTTCTTGATTTTTTGCCTTTACAATCTCTAGTTTTTCTGCCATATCTCTATTATTAAGTTGTACCAGTTCTTTTCCAACATTGTGGGTCATTCTGTGCATGCTGGTTCTTGAAGGAGGAGGACAGTCCATTCTGGCAAGTAACTCATGGAGTTTAGTACTCCCCATTGGACAGTCTTGTATTGCTGCTGCTACTGCTACATTGGGTGCTCCAGGGTTGGTACCAGGTTTATTTGTAACAATCTCCTTATACAGCTTCATAACTGGACTCATCTAGGTACAGTTCTTGCATCTAAGTGTATATTTCCAGCAGACTCCCCATTTTTCCTGTCTGTGTGCTAGTATTTCAGGATTTTTACAGTGCCTAAACTTCTTTGTATGGACATTTATAACTGTGTTGAGCATCTTCATCATCTCTTCATGGTCGACGAACCTCATACCAGATATTGAACACCACTCTTTTTCTGTTTTCAGGTCAGCTGATGGAACCAGTAGGTGGGAACGAGTCCTTTTGCTGTCATTGTCTGCAGGTGAAGTAGAAGAAGTGCATGGGGATTCGTCAAGGATAGCATTCTGTTCAACATTCATTTCAACAGCAGGAGCATGGTTTTCTTCTGGATCTGGTGATGTGGACAGCTGTAAGACAGGGACTTTATTCCATGGCGTACTGTTATGCTTGAACTTGTAACCAGGTGCAACTCTCCCTCTCTGCAGTCCAATAAGGCCCTTGTTGAATGGAGGGGAACCCTTTGGAAACATTTTGATGATAAATAGAATATTCTGGTGCAGTGTAAAGCGTCGAATGAAACTTTGATGACAGACCTCAAAATTGTTAGTTTTTATACTTTTTTGCATTGTGTAACTTTGATGCTGATTTTTAATTGGCTTAATGATGCTGTCAATCATTTTTGTTTATTGTTTTGATCTATTTTTAGCTGTGGGATTAAAGAAAGTGATTTTTAACTTCAAAGGGTTTGGTCTGCTTCAAAGAAAATGCCTTTGTTTGGCCTTTTTAATGGGAAATATTTTGTTTTCCTTGTTTAGATTTCAAAAAACATTAATTTAGGCAAATTTTAAAAGTTGTTTTGTTCAGAAAATGTGATTTTGAGAATTTTTGTTGAATTTTTTTGTTGATTTTTTTTTCAAATTAAGAAAAAAAACAAATGAAAAAAAAACTGTACTATTTATTAAATTTTTCAATTGCAATTATTTCCTCACTTCTTAACCTTTCCAAAACACTTTATTTCATCTCAATATTCAAAGAAATAAGGATTTTATATCATTTTAATTTTTTTTATTTCATTCATATTTAGCCTTGGGCAGATGATGTAAAGGGGGTGTTGAATATACAGGTAATTTAGCCTAAAGGTTATTCAAGACCCCCATAAAGTTTCATTTTGTTTATTCTAGAATGAATTTGGAATTTTTTAATGCAATTCTCACAATTTAGGGATGAGTTTTGAAATTTTAATTGAATTTTAAAAGTATTCTAAGTTGGGATTTCACTGATTTACAACAAAAAATGAAAAATTAACTTTAATTGCACCATGAACCATTCTGATTTTGGGAATTTTTATCTTAGATTAAATTTGTGTAATGATTTACCTTTCAGAATCACTTTAATTTTTTTAAAAACTTGCACTAATAAAAAAGTTATGAATCTTTTGATAAAGTGGGTGTCTTTAGGAAAATGACAAATTCATGCTAGGAAAACTGTTGAAATTTGGGTATGAGGGTAGGTGTTTAAGAAATGTCATTGCTGGTGCAAGTATTGTCCGATTGGTCTGAAATTTGGTATGCAGTCTTGATATATATTAAAGTTAATAAATATAAAATTTTATTTCATTTGGATAACTAAAAAGGGTCTATTAGGTCCGGGTACACAGTTATCTTCCCTCAATTTTCGTTGTCCACAAATATAGTCCTTTAATTTCAGTATATTTTTTCTTCATTTTTTTTTTTGCCTTTCCTTTGAATTTTTTCCCCTTTTTTTGCTTTTATGTGAATGTAAAGTCATCTAAGATAATTTCTGTAAAATTTCTTTTTGATATTTTGAGCAGAAATGAGTGATTTGGTTGGGTAAACATAGGTGTAATTTCCTCTTTTCGGAAGCTCTCTGGCTTAACCCATACTGGTGTCCTTGTGTTTTGTGTTGCCAAGAGAAAATGAGCCGATGAAGTTTTCTAATTTTTTGATATGTTTTGTGGTTAATGCCAAACTTTATGTACACCAAATCTTGTTAGAAAAGCGCAGGTGGGATTTTTTTTATTTATCATTATGTTATAATAGACAGATAGGGGAAAATAACTGTGTACTCGGACCAAATGACAAATGTTAAATAATTCAAACGAGAAAACAAACGGCCTAATTAATGTACAAAAAAATGAAGTAAAAACAAATATGTAACACAGCAACAAACGACAACCACTGAATTACAGGCTCCTGACTTGGGACAGGCACACACATACAGAATATGGCGGGATTAAAAATGTTAGCAGGATCCCAACCCTCCCCCTAACCTGGGACAGTGGTGTAACAGTCAACATAAGAACGAACTATAAAAATCAGTTGAAAAAGGCTTTGTTCATCAGATGGATACAAATAGAAATACATCCAACAAAAACACTGAGTTGACGTGGCCGGGTACTTTTACATCCCAAGAACAATAGACACTAAGTACAGATCTGAGAGTACTCGCAGTTACTGACAGCTAGTTCAAAGCCAATAACAACTATAATAAAAAAAATCATGCATCTAAGACTAAATTATCAATCAGTACACATCCAACATCCAATGGATTTAGTGTAAAGACGTCATAAACAGAGAAAAACATGACCTTATGCAATGCCAAGATACAGGTATCGACACACATCATTGTCAATATAATATAATTTTATGCGACTGTCATACAAGTGAGAGGTTTAGTTAGCTATAAAACCAGGTTTAATCCACCATTTTCTACATTGTGACCTACTTGACTGACATCTAGCTTTTTTGGAGTGGAATTTTAAAGTATTATTTATAAGTGGAGCCTAATAACATGGACTTATATTTTAATGAAAAGTCTTCTTTTGTGTTTTAATTATTATTTTAAGGCATATTTTTATTGGTAAAGGCTAAAAAAGGTAATTTAATAATATTATTGCGAACGTTACATCTTTTTTGTCCATTGTGGTATGTTACGGTCGCAATTTTCGTGTTGGTTCTCAGACGGCCCATTGTTATTTTTAACTCGGGTTTTATAAATAATTGATATAAATAGCAATCACATTAAATTTTGATGACGAAAGGGGGTCAAAGGACTTTCGGGATCAATATCATAGGCTGTTTTATTTTTTGCGAACGTTACTGCTCTACGTTTCCGTCCAAATCAATGTCACGTGAGCAATGTATATTTACATCTGTAACTCTCCTGTATAGGAGTTACGATATCGCCCTTTGCAGAAATGGATGCGGAGCCGGTTCCCTCACATAATGGGAAAGCAAAGAAGGTAAGTTGTCTGTTATATCGTTACACGAGGTCCTTTATTGTATTCCGTCCATCAAAAAGACATTCGCAACAAAACGTTGAATCAAGTAATGTCATTTAAATGTCACATTAAGAAACTTTTGTTGCGGTTTTTCATCTCCCAACGAGATTTGACCATATTTTACGTACAGTTAAATCTTCTAGTTCATCAAAATACATTTCTTTTAATAATTTGATGCGAACGGTATAATATGGACAGATTGTTATGTAGCTATCGTTACTTTGGGACAGTAATTGAGCGTTGCGATTGTCGATCTGTGTCTACTGAGACATGCCTGATCGTCGCGAACGTTCATTGGAGACGTGCACAGTTGTTGCGAACGTCACTTGAAGACAGTTAAGAAAATAAATAATGTTGCTAACGTCATCAGTTGGACAAAAAATACGCCAACAATTTAATAAATTTCCAAATTAATTTTACAAACATGTTTGTGAGGAACAGTTAAACAAACTACTAATGTTTGTTTATTTAGTATTCTTTTTTATTTAAACCCATGATTTTGCATTAATTTTGACAAGAGATTGAAAAAACATGCTGTGTTGCTAACGTTATGACAAGACATGTTTTGGAGTTGCTAATGCTACAAATGAGACTAAAATTTAGTGTTTGGCACTGACAGTTTGATAATCAGGGATTCCCTACCTGAAAAATAATCAAATGGTCCATGGCTTGGATTAATCCCTACCATTGTATTAAGCCATGCATTTATGAGGATGAAAAGGGGGTAGGGGGATACATACACAGAAAAAAATGTGAAATAAGACGTAATTTCTGACATGACCTAGCTTGCAGAGCTTGTCCCATATCAAAAAGTGGACATTTGCCCGGCCAAAATGGATGCACTGCTTCGTTGCTTCTTGAGTTGACTGACGGCATTGGATCCATATTTTAATATGGGTGAGCTCTGAGTCTGACATTCCATGGCCACAGCTTGTCTGGCAAAACAGTCGTTGCAGATTTAATGGTATAATCTTTAAAAAAACATTTGTCACATTGAACATGTTGAATAAAATTTGAGACATATATTTTTTTCTGCAAAGAATATGTTCCTTTAGGATAAGGGGAACTGGCCAAATTCTTTGTCAGAACTTAAAATTCTGGTATCATTTTATCTGTACGATTCTGTCCCTCACCTCTTTTGAATTTTAGTTTATATAAACCTCACGTTGGAATGTACACTCAATGAAGGGGGTTACCATCTAACACACCTAAATATATTGTTTTCATCTTTATTTATATATTTGACTTACAAAATGTACCTTCTGAACGAGGATGAATATGTTTATACATATGTATACACAAATTAATAAGAAATGATAACAAGAGAACCAAAAAGAACAGTCTTGCAGGGCTGTTGTCAGAACAGTACACTTTCAAGTCTAACAAAAACTGCTGAAAGGCGACATCCCCCCCCCCCCCCCAAAAAAAAAAACCTACCTACCTACCCACTTTGAAAAATGTGGGTAGGGGAGTGGGGAAACAAACATTTTTTTAAGGATGGCCTTGGGAATATCTGTCAAGCTAGTCTTCAATTTGTTTGAAAAATACCAAGCACGTAAAATAAGCACTTAAAAATTACAATGTAAGTAAAATTAAATTTATAAGCAGAACACCTTGAACATGTACCTGTCTTGCACAACTGAACATCAAATAATAAAGTACAGACAGCGAATAAGTTGCACAAAAATAAACCTTTACCACCCTCATAGACATGTAATTAAAATTATATAATAAATATTGAGGAACAAGGGTTACTTTTATAATAATTGACTTGGATGGAGAATTGTCTCATTGGCACTCATACCACATCTTCTTATATCTAATTAGCATGCAATTATCCTTGAAGACACAGACACAATTAAGTCAATTTACAACATCGAAAAAACAAATCAACATACTGATAATTTTTATACGACCGCAAACAATTTTTGAGATCTTATATTGGTATCACGTTGTCGTTGTCGTCCGAAGACACATTGGTTTTCGCACAATAACTTTAAGTGAATGGATCTCTATGAAATTTTACCATAAGGTTCAATACCACAAAAGGAAGGTTGGGATTGATTTTGGGGGTTATGGTACCAACAGTTAAGGAATTAGGGGCCAAAAATAAGCATTTTTGTAACTTCCAGACAATAACTTGTGTGTTAGTGTATGGATCTCTCTGACATTATACCTCAGGGTACCATACCACAAAGGGAAGGCTGGGATTGATTTCGGGGGTAATTATCTCAAAATTTTAGGAATTAGGGGCCAAAAAGGGACAAAAAACAAGCATTTTTCTAGTTTCCAGACAATAACTTGTGTTCAATGGTATGGATCTCTCTGAAATTGTACTGCAAGGTACCCTACCACAAAGGGAAGGCTGGGATTGAGTTTGGGGGTGATGAATCATAAGGGGGTTCAGAAAATTTGAGGGGGGGGGATTTTTTTTCTGTCCAAAATTAAACTTAGTTAAATTCTTGGGGTTCTTTGATATGCTGAATCTAAACATGTATTTAGATTTCTGATTTTGGGCCCAGCTTTCAAGTTGGTCCAAATTGGGGTCCAAACTTAAACTTTGTTTGATTTCAACAAAAATTGAATATATGGGGTTCTTTGATATGCTGAATCTAACCATGTATTTAGATTTTTTATTTGTTTGCCACGCTATCAAATTGGTTCATATTGAGGTCAAAAGGGTCCAAAATTAAAGTTTGTTTGATTTCATCAAAAATTGAATTATTAGGGTTCTTTGATATGCCAAATCTTACTGTGTACTTAGATTTTTAATATTGGGTCCTGTTTTTTAAATTGGTCTACATTATGGTCCAAAGGGTCCAAAATTTAACTTTGTTTGATTTTAACAAAAATTGAGTATTTGAGGTTCTTTGATATGCTGAATCTAAACATGTGTTTAGATTTTTGATTATGGGCCCAGGTTTCAAGTTGGTCCAAATTGGGGTCCAAACTTAAACTTTGTTTGATTTCAACAAAAATTGAATATATGGGGTTCTTTGATATGCTGAATCTAACCATGTATTTAGATTTTTTATTTGTTGGCCACGCTATCAAATTGGTTCATATTGAGGTCAAAAGGGTCCAAAATTAAACTTTGTTTGATTTCATCAAAAATTGAATTCTTTGGATTCTTTGATATGCTGAATCTAACCATGTATTTAGATTTTGAATATTGGACCATAATAGGTAAATAAAAAAAAATTAAGTTCTTAGACCACATTCATTTTGTGTCAGAAACCTATGCTGTGTCAAATATTTAATCACAATCCAAATTCAGAGCTGTATCAAGCTTTAATGTTGTGTCCATACTTGCCCCAACTGTTCAGGGTTCGACCTATGTGGTCGTATCAAGCTGCGCCCAGCGGAACATTTTATTATTTTTATTTTTGATGTTTTAACTGGCTTCCCTCTTTTTTATATATTTTTTTTTCAATTCCTTCCAGAAGCATCGCTGCACTATATGAAGGCAAGAACTCAAACAAAATAACCCACAGAAATACAAAGAATATTTAGAAAGGCAAAAAGAATATTCAAAAATTAATAGACAAAAACTGAAATCAATTAGAATGAATAGGAACAGAACACCAGAAGAAGAGCAAATGAACAAAAATTACTTGGAAAACCAAAGATTAAGGCAAGCTAAACACAGACAAAGAAAGAAGGAAGCTAACCCAACATCACCAATAAAAGTGAAGATTGGACAAAACAAAAATGCTCATCCTACACAAAAAAAACCAGCAACCAGAAAAAATGTTAAGACGAAGAGAGAGAAATGGAGAATGGCAAAGGCTAAATATAGGGCAAACATATCTAACTATAAAAGAAGATGGATTAAGGAAAAAGATAAAAGTCGTAAAAAACAAACGAATGATGAAGAGAAAAACTATCAAAAGAAAAATAAGCAATCGCCTGAAAACATACAAATAACCAAAAGCAGTGGGAAAACATATAAAACAAAGCAGTCCTTGTGGAATAAGGCATCCTCAGTGCGACAAAAACTGCCAACTACACCAAGAAAGTTTGCGGATGTTATAACACATATCATTAAAAACACAACACCAAGAAAGAAAGATGCCATTTACGAAGAACTGAGGATTCTTAAAGAAAAAAAATATGCAAGCATATTTATTCGTCGAAATAAAGCATTTGCTAAAGACATCTTAGATAGAAATACACTCAAATCTTTGAAAAGTTATGATAGAAAAAACATTGCCAGAAAAGCATTGAAGAACCTGAAAATAAAACCCAGGAAAATAAGAAGAGATAAAGTACCCAAGACAGTAGAAAACTTAGTATCGTCATTCTACCTTAGAACAGCCAGAGTTCTCCCACAAAAGCGATATGCAACAAAATATGGGCCAGGATATTCTCTTCAAATGACAGCTGCTTTTAAACTTTTTAAAGAAGAAAACCCTACTATTAATTTGGGATTTTCAAAATTTGTTTCATTAAAGCCAAAATGTGTGAGACTATTAAACAAAACTCAATGGAATGTTTGTGTTTGTCCAACATGCTTTAATATCAAATACAAGCTGTCATGTCTAAACAGAGCTTTTCCTAATAACAAAAGTCCAAGAAATGAAAAAGAGCTTGTCAAATTTTTAATGTGTAGAAAACCAGATGCGATGAGATTCCACCACAGTAACTGTGTATATGGTATTTGTGAAAAGTGTAGTTCACACGGGAAAACAATTGTGCAACATTATCATGTCTTAAGTCAAGGTCAGTTAAGAAATCTGTCCTGGAACCACTGGGAGAGAAAAATGGGATTTGATGGTAAGATAAGAAAGTGTTTGGTAAAAAAAGAAGGAAATGTACAACAATGTCTAGAGGAATTGCAGGAAGATGTCGACAAACCAACACAAGGTACATCCCTTGTTAAACATGTTTTTATTGCTGATTGGCAACAGTTCCAGTTTAACAAAATAAAAGAAAATCTTCCTAAAGATAACGTGTTAATGGTAATGGACTTCGGAAAAAATAGGCTGGTGAGATATCAAGATGAAATCAAATCAGCATATTTTGCTGCCGCTCAGATAACACTACATCCCATAGTTTTATTTTATCATTCAAGATATGTACCAGAATTGATTGTAAGACATTCATTAGTGTTTCTTAGTGATGATATTACACACGATTCAAATGCAGTGGAGTATTTTAAAACCAAATCTCTAGAATTTTTAGAAAAAAAGTCTGTTCCCTACAAAGAATTTATCATTTTTTCTGATGGTTGTGCCGGACAATATAAAAGTAGACACACCTTTGCAGAATTAGCACAATCAAATGTTGTAATACAGCGTCATTTCTTTGGAAGTGAACATGGAAAAAGTGAATGCGATGGAGAGGTTGCCTCTGTAAATAAATCTGTGGACTCAGCTGTAATAGGAAGACAAGCAATAATAACAAATGCTACAGACATGTATCGTTGGTGCTGTGAGCATATTGTTTTGGATGAACCAGGATCAAAGAGAGATTTTTTTCTTATTGAAAAAACATTATTGACCATTCTAAAAAAGCAGAAACTGTTGATCCAGTTAAAGGAATAAGACAAATTCATCAGGTTAATAATGTTCCTCAGAAACTAGGTGAACTATATAAAAAAACAGTGTCCTGTTTCTGTGAATACTGTATAGACAGAGACTATACAAGATGTCTAAATTCTGATTATACTGATATTCAATCAATAAAGATCCGAAATGAAGTCAGAGAATCAAAGAGGAAGACAATTATGCAGGGAACTAAGAACAATGAAAAAAAAGAAAATGCAAAAGATAAGATTGAGAATCTTCATAAGAAAGTTGGTCCACAACATGCACAAGAAAAGAAAACTGCAATTAGAAAAAATAAGAAAACAGTATCCTCAAAGCCCAAGGTACCTGTAGTAGAACAGTGCAAAAAGGAGAAAACGAAGCCGATGGCAGCAGAACAACAATTAAATGAAAAACCAACAACTGAGCACACAGTATTAGACAGAAAACAATACTTTAGTTTAAAGCTTCATGAGCTGCAAAGATGTAAAGACTATGAAAGCTTACAAGCATTTTGCACACATTTGAATGAAGAATTCAAACAAATAAAAATATTAATAAATGAAGATATCAACATAGTGTCAAATAACTTAGTAGTTGACAAGGATGCATCGAATTTGTTCCCAAAAAAAAGACTACAGCAAACAAAGTTCGTGAATTATTTGCCAGTGGTGGTATATGGGGATGGCAATTGTCTCCCTCGTAGTATAAGCACACTAATCTTCGGAAATGAAGACCATTATATGGAAGTGAGAACTAGAATAACTGTTGAGATGTGCATTAATGCAGAATTATATTTGAAAAATGAAACTCTGCTTCAGGGAAATAGTTTCCCCAACAAGGATGCCTCTTGTCTACTGAATACATATATAATGTTTTTAGAGCAATATACACCTGGAGATAGACTCACTCGAAATGTAATCAGAAGACTTTATGAAGAAGAAGTGATGAACTCCTGTAAAAATGGTTCATGGATGGGAATTTGGGAACTCCTTGCAGTGTCATCGGTTTTAAATTGTGAGTTACTGTCAGTTTATCCAGACGTACAAACTGATGTTGTTCCTCAAACTGTACTCCACAGGCGGATTCTTCCACTGAAAGAACAGCATGGTATATGTTCTGCCTCAGCTGCTGTTATGTGGTCATCAACAAGACATGATGGATTCATCAACCATTTTGTGCCACTTTTACCTCTACATAGACGAGAACCCGAATCACTCAGTCCAGAACTCTTAATGAGCTTTGAGGATTCTGATACAAGTTTTAATGAAGATGACAGCTTTATAAAAACTTTTCTTGAAAATGAAATATTTATGAACATTAATAAGAGTGATATTGATGTCATGTCTGAAGTTTTATGTGACCAAGCAGACATAGCTGATGGAAAGTATGATGTAAACCCTGGTGTAACAGAAGTCATCTCTGATGAGATTAATGTAGAGATCCATTATGACCCAGAGCAGTCAGAAATGCAGTCTGTTGCAGAACTATCAGAAGTCCCTTATTATGAAGAGCACTCTGTATTGGAGTTTGAAGTGGTAAACACAGGGGTTATGGAACAATCACAAGTCAGGTCACATGTTATGGAGCAGTCAGAAGTCAAGTCTGGTGCTATAGAACAGTCAGATATCAAGTCTCATGAGTTGGAGCAGTCAGCAATCAAGTCAAATATTATGCAGCAGTCAGAAGTCAAGTCTGTTGGTATGGAGCAGTCAGAAGTCAAGTCTTATGGTATGGAGCAGTCAGAAGTCCAGTCTGGTGTTATAGAACGGTCAGAAGTCAAGACTGATGGGATGGAGCAGTCGGAAGTCAAGTCTAATGGTATTGAGCAGTCAGAAGTTAAGTCTGATGGTATGGAGCAGTCAGAAGTAAAGTCTAATGGTATTGAGCAGTCAGAAGTCCAGTCTAATGGTATGGAGCAGTCAGAAGTAAAGTCTAATGGTATTGAGCAGTCAGAAGTCCAGTCTAATGGTATGGAGCAGTCAGAAGTCAAGTCTTATGGTAAGGAGCAGTCAGAAGTAAAGTCTAATGGTATTGAGCAGTCAGAAGTCCAGTCTAAGGAGGGTATGGAGCAGTCAGAAGTAAAGTCTAATGGTATTGAGCAGTCAGAAGTCAAGTCTGATGGTATGGGGCAGTCAGAAGTCAATTCTGATGTTATAGAAAAGTCAGAAGTTCAGTCTGGTGGTATGGAGCAGTCAGAAGTCAAGTCAGATGGTATGAGGCAGTTAGAAGTAAAGTCCGATGGTATTGGCCAGTCAGAAGTCAAGTCTGATGTTACAGAAGGGTCAGAAGTCAAGTCTTATTGTATGGAGCAGCCACCATTCGAGTCCAGTGTAACAGAGAAATCAAGGTACTTGAATTGTAAATGTTCTAGTCAAAGTGTTTTTGTTATAACTACTAGGCGAAATAACAATGATAAAATTAAGGGATACTTTTGTAACCTTAAAGATTATGATCTACAAGAGTCTTGTTTTAAAATAAAATGTGTAAAGATTTACATTAATTACTTGTAGTTCAAAGTTTTAACTTCAAATCTAAAAAAATATAGCCAAATCCAGAGCTTTGGATAAGGGAAAAATTTATAACAGCTAATTTATATATATTACATTATTTCAGTAATTTATTTCTTATCTAAAAAGGGAAAGACTATAGAGTTTTATGATTTATGATTTATTAATGCTATTTAAAACAGACCTTTTAAAACTGGTAATTACCTGGCTGTCAGTTTTGGAAATGATGTATATCCAGCAGTTGTAAGTTACCAAGTTCATCAAATTGTTTATATTGATGTTATTTTTTTCTTTCCAGATTTTTCAAACTTTATTTAACCAGACTTAGATTTCTCTGAAAAAATGTGAAAACCATTGTTACAGTTTTTTTAGTAACTTTTGGCAAACAAATATTAAGTTATTTAACTTTTTCGATTGTTTTCCTGTTAGAATCTAGAAATTGGGTTACCGGTATGGTATTAACTTAAGAAATTTAGTTCTTACTCTCATTAAAAAAATAAGATACTTGGAAAATCTTTAAATGCTTTTCAATTTTCAAAGTTTCAGTGTCTTAACGTGGTTCTAATTTGGAAAGACTTAGTATTTCAAAACTCTTTTAAGATTTTCCAGTCATCATTTTTATCTAAAAAACAGACTATTATTTTGAAGTCTAGGTCAGGTTATGTTTGGTTTTGTGTTATTGCCGGAGTCAGCATTGACAGTTGTTAAGTTTTGTGGTTAGGACAATGTTTGGTCTTTTAGGTGCTTGACCATCTTTATTCCTTAAAGGTTTTTTTAACTTTACTGCTAGGTCAAGATATACATACATTTGTATCAACAGTTTTTATCAATACTTCTTTGTGGTCAGGCATTTTTAAATTAAGATAGTTATGTAATTGTTTCATGCACTGAAACCTAGTTAATTATACCTCATGACACAATTTATTCTGTGATCTAATTTATCATGGTACAATTAAAAATGATTTAAAACAAAACTTTTTTAACAGCGTTCAGTTTTGATTTTATCTATTGAGAAGTCACTTGTCATAATTTGCAAAATTTTGTTTCAGGTGTCTAAATGGCCATGGATTATTTACTATAGAAGTTACAACAGAGGATGGAAGGAGGGCACATTGAAGTATACCATAGCAGTCAGTGATGTTATAAGAAAATTAAAACCGCCTAATATAGTAATGAAGGGGCACTCATTACTATATATATTTGAAGGTAATATTCTTTTTCCTTTTCGAAGAGCTTCATACCACATCTTCTATTTTTATAATAACAACTTAGTTCATTAATTGCCAAAATTAATCCAGTTCTCAAATTGGCATAAAAGTCATTGCTCAGAGACAAAATTACCAAATGGTAAACATACATTTGATTTTCAGGGGTATCTTAGCATAATCTCGGGTAATCATTAAAAGAAGATGGTAACTTGAACTGTTCTAGCTACAATTAATGATGACAACATATCTTTAATTACCATATATACTGAAAGCATTCGGCAAAAAACTATGTCTTGATTGAAGTAAGTTTGAAGGCAGTACAATACATTTTAAATATATTAGTAATATTTTTAATTTATTTTCTTTCAGATGAAGTCCTTCAGAACTAACACCTCCAGAACTAACAGAGACGATACATTTTTCAAACATTAAAATATTTTTAAGCTTCTAGGCAGTATTTTAGACTTTTGAATGCAAATGCATCATGAATTAAATGGGCAAAGCAATTAAGGTGCTCTGAAGACTACATAAGACTTTCTATACTACAATCCATGATGAAAGTCATTGAGGCATTGGTCACTATGGTATTTCCATCTTCACTGCGAATTGATTTGAAATTGTTCATTCTTCTGTTGTTTGATGTTTCTTGCCAGACATTACACGGGCATTTTGGCTTGTGCTTCATAAATAATCCATATCCCCCTTTCTGTTTTGAGTGCCAAAGGTTGCAGGTTCAATCCCCAGCCAGATAAAATAAGACATTAAAATTGGTCTTTGCTGCTTCTCATCCAAGCCGACAGCATTTAGGAGTAAAAGCAAAGGTCAGCTTACAGAGGCAACAGAGTCTTTATAATGTGTCTTTGTGGAAAATCCTGTTGAGCGTGTCAGTCTAGTACAAAGCAGAGATCATATTACATCAACTTGTTCTCGCCCTGATGTGCACGTACTAGGTTGACACTGGACGTTAAACAATAATTAATCCATTCATCCATAAAATCTGGTGTGTCAGTCTGGTACAAAGAACAGTTCTTATTGCATTTGGTACTCATATCATATCAACATCTCAGTTCACGACTCTAAAGATATGAACAGATCTAGAAGAATCATTCAGTTACATCTTAAAAAATTTTCGATAAAGATATCATGAATCTTATTTTTCACCTCCTGTAACAATTTTGGCCACATTTAGTGTGACCGATCTAGATAGCAAATTTTCTTAATGTATTACTGAAGAAGATGTTGCTAATGTTACTATTACAAATTGGTTTCTTGTGTATTCATTTGATACAAAGAACACCTGCCAATGACATTCTGTATATTTAGAAATTCTAAACCAGACTGTACAATTTAATTACTCAAAGCATTTATAAAGCACCACTGTGTGCATACATTTCAACTTTTAAAGATGTTGTTGCCAATGTTACATGTCCAAATGTCGCTAACATTACTCTTTTTTGTCTCCGTCACATTAGCAACAGCCTTAATTCAAAACATGTTTTCTTTCAAGAATCTGGCACAAATTAAACTAGTAAAAAGTAAATATTGGCAACACATGCAACTTTATACTGATTCAATTCTTTTTACTGTGTATTAGATGTCATTTACTTTGAAAAACATAAACTTTTTGTCCCATTTTCCATATGTCACATGTCCATCATCTTAAACATATTTTTTTTTCACTAATATATTAGAAGTAGTAATGTGTAAGATGCTGAATATCTTCCTAAACCCTTTACCTTTCAGAATTTATTTTGGTTTTATTGCTGGTTAAAGGCTTTAAACCAAAATTAATGAAATTTTGGACCAGGGTGCAAAAGGAGAAAATGTGGGTATCCCTGTTTCCTTGGCAACCATTCAATAATCTCTTACACTATTTACTCCTTTTTTGAAGAATTATGACCTACTGATAATAAATTTTCAGAAATATAACTTTTTTTCATGTAATGGCTTCTTTAATTATTTATCATGAAAGTAGGAGGCAGAACACAATACTGTAAAATCTGCCTTAGGGATTTCCGTTTTGAATTTTCCTCAGATTTCGGTATTTTTGTTACTTTACTTTTTACTAACATCTTGATTGATTGATTGGTGGTTGCTTTATGCCGCCTTAGCGCTAAAAAGGCTATATCGCGGCAAGAGCTAATTCTAATATTTTACAATTTAAGGTATTTTTTCAAAATCAGACAAAAGGTCCTTCAATATATTAAAACTCAAGTTTAAAGCAAAATTGCTTATTTACAAATAAAATTCAACACTAAGATAAAGTGATAAAAATTAAAATCATTTAAACTTATACAACATTACTTACATCTTGATTATCAATGTCTGCTTTATTCTTAAGACATTTTTTCACATCTTTTACATTTCCATTCTTAGCAGCTGTAAGAAGTGTCTGTAAGTAATACAAAGATTTTACATTTAACAGATTGTAATAAAAAATAAATGAAATAACTGTTAACATGGTTAAGTCTGGCAATAATTATAGGTTTCATAACGAGTGAGAATGGGATATCGCTTGATATCAACTAGAGTTATGTAATTTCAATATAAAAACAAGAAATGATTGTAACAGGATGCTGTTACAAAGTCTCCCAAACGAAGCTCCCATAATTCGTAATTCCCAGGGTCGCCTGACATTGGACAAAGTCCAGTATAGTTATATGCATTAGTGATGCCTGGGGACTAACCCTGTATATCATTCAAATCATCTTGGCATGACAAACCAGAATATATATGGTTTAGGGGTGGGGATCTCGACCATTTAAAAGATACTAGAACATTGGGGGTGGGGGGAACCCCTGGGGACTGACCATATACGTCATTCAAATGTTCGAGACATGATGAACAGGAATATATATGGTTTAGGGGTGGGGATCTCTACCATTTACAAGATATTAGAACTTTCTCAAATGGCAGGGGGTCAGGATGACCCCTGGGGACTAACCCTGTATATCATTCAAACCATCTTGGTATGACAAACCAGAATATATATGGTTTAGGGGTGGGGATCTTGACCACTTACAAAGATATTAGAACTTTCTTAAATGGCAGGGGGTGGGAGTGACCCCTGGGGACTAACCCTGTATATCATTCAAACCATCTTCGCATGACAAACCAGAATATATATGGTTTAGGGGTGGGGATCTTGACCACTTACAAGATATTAGAACTTTCTCAAATGGCCGGGGGTGGGGGTGACCCCTGGGGACTAACCCTGTATTTCATTTGATGTGCTTTATCATGACAAACCAGAATATATATGGTTTAGGGGTGGGGATCTCAACTATTTACAAGATATTAGAACTTTCTCAAATGGCAGGGGGTCGGGATGACCCCTGGGGACTAACCCTGTATATCATTCAAACCATCTTGGTATGACAAACCAGAATATATATGGTTTAGGGGTGGGGATCTCGACCATTTACAAGATATTAGAATTTTCTCAAATGGCAGGGGGTCAGGATGACCCCTGGGGACTAACCCTGTATATCATTCAAACCATCTTAGCATGACAAACCGGAATATAAATGGTTTAGGGTGGGGATCTTGACCACTAACAAGATATTTGAACTTTCTTAAATGGCAGGGGGTGGGGGTGACCCCTGGGGACTAACCCTGTATTTCATTTGATGTGCCTTATCATGACAAACCAGAATATATATGGTTCAGGGGTGGGGATCTCGACCATTTACAAGATATTAGAACTTTCTCAAATGGCAGGGGGTCGGGATGACCCCTTGGAACTAACCCTGTATATCATTCAAACCATCTTAGCATGACAAAACAGAATATATATGGTTTAGGGGTGGGGATCTTGACCATTCACAAGATATTAGAACTTTCTTAAATGGCAGGGGGTGGGGTGACCCCTGGGGACTAACCCTGTATTTCATTTGATGTGCTTTATCATGACAAACCAGAATATATATGGTTTAGGGGTGAGGATCTCGACCATTTACAAGAGATTAGAACTTTCTCAAATGGCAGGGGGTCGGGATGACCCCTGGGGACTAACCCTGTATATCATTCAAACCATCTTAGCATGACAAACCAGAATATATATGGTTTAGGGGTGGGGATCTTGACCACTTACAAGGTATGAGAACTTTCTTAAATGGCAGGGGGTGGGGTGACCCCTGGGGACTAACCCTGTATTTCATTTAATGTGCTTTATCATTTAGAACATTTTCAATTAAAAAGATTGTGTCTATTTCAAACGGTTTTCAATTTATAATCATTTGAAAATTTAAAAAAATAAAATCCCATAGGGTTCTATAGTAAAACCCTCCTTTCTTTTTGCCCCTCAAAGTACCCCTTTGTAAACCCCATTGCACAAACAAAACCCTGATTGCACCACTAGACATGTTATTCTAACATATTGTGAAACCCTAAGTTAATTTGACAAGCGGTTTTGGAGAACGGGTGCGGACAAGTTCAAATTCAAAAGTGGCGGAAGAAGAAGAAGAAGAAGAAGAAGAAGAAGAAGAAGAAGAAGAATAATAAGAACTGAGCAAAACCAACAAGTCTTCCCAAACTTTGTTTGGGAGACTTAATAAAAGAGCCTTTGGTGAGTTTATTATTACTATTCAAATTAAATAACGAGAGTTGATATCAAGCGATATCCAATTTTCACAAGTTGTTAAACCTATTTCTCTTATGGTCAGCACTCTCAATGTGTAAAATTTAAAAATCCGCGAAATGTTGATCTAGTCTTTTGCACATTCCAGTATGTCGTCATATGTCCTTTTCTGGTGTCAAACTTTAACATCAGACATTTTAAGACTTTTTGTATGCTTCAGAATGTAATAAAATTTGACAAAAAGAAGATAATTGTTAGGTGAAATATGTGAGTGTTTTGTATATTATAGAAGAAATCACAAATGTCCGTTGCCATGGACGAAATGTACATCGTCTTAACCTTTGAAAGTCATCATTGACCTAATGAATAACTTATGGAAATGCCGTAATATCTTCTTGTGATGATGGATAAGCCAATCAAATTAACACAGATTTTCGTATCACACTCCGTGCAGTGTGATACAAGAAATATCTATTCATGCAAGAATAAGATAACAGACCCCTCAAATATCATTTATGAAGAGAGGATATGTACCAATTATACACTTATATTTGAAAATCATTCGATAAATTTCTGAAACTGAAAAAACCTAAATTGCATTTTTGTTTGTCATTAGTTACTAAATACTGATTCAAATGCTTTTGTATAACTAAACTGCCACTAAATAATGTATGATGATCAGATCCAAGTTACTGACACCAAGACCGCAGAAGATTTCTGGCAAGTTGCTAATGATTTATAAACAACAAAACAAAAACAGGTATGAAATTTCATGTAGTTCATGCCTATTTCCGCTATGAGTTATTAGCAACATCTTAGTTTGTGAAATGTTTGTAGAAGACATTTCTTTGTCCAAGTCAGAGTTGTATAACATTTGTTTGATTTGTGTTCTTGGAATATCTATTTTTGTAGTTCATGTAAAATTTTTATCTCAAATTATCACATACTTGTATTTTCTGTAAGAAAATGGAAAACAAAATGTCACATGACAATTGGACTTAAAATTCAATCTTACCTTATTCCAATTTTCCATTTTATCCTAAAAATAGAAAAAAAACTATTTCAAATATATACTGTAGAGTTATTATTGAGCTATTTTTGTAACTGTCAATTTAAATTACATGATCCTTATGGACTTGTAAATTACTGACTATTGTGCTATATGAAATTAAACAAGAGGCACACTTATGCCTGTATTGCTTACCTGGTGAAAATATCACCAGTTTGCTAATTATGATTTTTATATGCAAATACTATAGTTAGTCTTTGTGTTGCAGATAATTTTTACAATTTACAAGTTTAATCTATCTCCTATAAGTTTTTAGATAACAGCTCAAACTGATAAATATCTGAGTAAAAAGATCCTGTCATGCTGATCATTTAGTATTCACTTTTAACCTATAGCTAGCTCCTATAAGTTTTCCAGATAAACGGAAAAAAGGGAAACATGTATATTTCAGAGGCAACATCTCAAAAAAACAGGTTGATATATATTTTTTTACATTTCCAGGGTTTATAGATCTTGTCATGCTGGTAATGGTATTTTTAATCTAGCTCCTACATGATAATCAATTCATTTTGTACCAGCAAAAACTTCAAAACAAGAATATTTCAGGGGCAATAACTCCACAGGTGACAGGTTTTTGTCCAATTTTTAAGGAAGATACATCTTGTTGTGCTGAACCTTTTTGCACTTTATGCTTTTAAGTTACCCCTATAGTTTTCATGATAGCAGCCAACAACTGCGTAAAATTTGAAAAAAAAGATATTTCAGAGGCAAAAATAAGTGGTTCGTTTTTATCAAAATTTCCAGGTGGATACATCTTGTCATGCTGACATGTTTACACTTTTGGGTGCAATCAACAGTTTTTTTTCTATGACGTCATATTTTGAGGGACCATACATAAGCGACCTTTAGTGGTGGAATGGTTAATAAAGATACTTGTATAAAAATAGATATCACTGGAATCAGAATTTTCTCTAGTTTATAATGAAATAAAAATAAAGAGTAATTTTAACATAATAAAAAAGTTCTATCCAGAGAAAATGAAAAAAAAAGTGCCCAATCTCAACATGAAAAACCTGAACAGTGCTGAAATCAGGTCATGCGCATACCCATGTAGGCATGATACAGGCACATTTCAGATAATCAGAACTGTATGAATTTCATAGATTTTAACCTGGTCTTTTAAAGAAATCGCGCTTCAGGCTACGTTCTCCTGCTTCGGAAAAAACTACAGTAGATACAAATAAGTTTTCAACTTTCACTACCAAAAACACAGCGAGTTTACAGTATTGTCTCCCCTTAGAACATGTATATTCAATCTAATTTATACAATAAATTTAATCAGTCAGCCTGTTTTGGTTGAAAGCTAACTAACTAATTTTTACCATCAAATACAAAATGCATGATACTTTTTCACCAATTATGTAAATAAAAATGGATTTTCCTCCATTGCTATTTTTAGTCGTGGAATAACCCCTAGTTTTTATACGAAACTGTTTATAGCACCCTATAACCTAGTTCCTATTATATTAAAACATTGGCTAGGAAATGTCAGACAAGGGAAACAACTCCTATAAAAGAGAGGCAAAAGATTTCAAAGGGATATTCAAACTTAATAAGAGGTTGATTGACAATTTCGATCGTGTTGACTTATTTGTAGGACTTACATTGTTAAACATCTTTGCCATTTAAAGTTTATTGGCATCGATCATAGTGTCTGCAAAAAACTAGATATGGACAATGCCCCCCTCTTTTCTGCTCTGCCATATGCATGAGTATAGTTCCACATATTTTAGATTTGACAAACAGTGATGTTGGCATACAACTTGAAATTGTTACGCTGTCTGTAAGACACAAATGATGCCCCCGCCTGACCATAGGAAATTATAAATTTAACACTTTGTATGATAATGTAACTGTAGGAGGAGATAGCCAGACAAACCATGATCTCTTTATGCAGCTAGTACCAAAAAATGACTAAGTCCAACTACCTGTCATTTTCAGAATATTTGAGAAAAAAAATTAAAATCCTGTGGCCATGCACACCTCCATTATGTGTTTGAACATCATATAAAATATTAAAGCTGTATCTCCAAAACTGTATGAGGAGATAGCCGGACAAACCATGATCTTTTAATGCAGCTAGTACCAAAACTAGAGGCTCTAAAGAGCCTGTGTCGCTCACCTTGGTCTATATGCATATTCAACAAAGGACACTCTTCAGCATTGTACACAAGAATAGAATTAATGACAAAAATCTCTGGTTTTTTTTTATCTTATATTGCTGATCATTGAAGTCTGTTTAGTGTCTCTCTATCTTATTTTGCTTTTGCTCCAAACACAATAATGGGTAAAAAAATATTCCTAATTCAAGGGCAATAACTCCTATAAACATGATAAAGAGTAACAGTCTACTAATCATTAATCATCAGCAAAATTTAACTTGTTAGTAGGTCTTGTCTTGCTTATCATTTTTGATTATTGCTTATCATTTTTGATTATTTAAATTTCTATCTATCTATTATAATTTTTATCATATAAGGCAGAATGCAAAATAAATGGTAAAAATTGTCATAAAGGGCAATTACTCCAATAAGGAGTCATCGGACAATTTCCACCATTTGTCTTAATTGTAGATCTTGTCTTGCTTACCATTTTTGATTATTTAAGTTTCTATCTATCTATTACAATTTTTATCATATAAGGCAAAACGCCAAAAAATGGTGAAAATCGTCATTAAAGGGCAATAACTCCAATAAGGAGTCGTCCAACAATTTCCGCCATCAGCCTTAATTGTAGATCTTGTCTTGCTGATCATTTTTGTTTTTTTTTAAGTTTCTTTCTATCTATTATAAGTTTACGATATAAGACAAAAACGCAAAAAAAAATTGTACAAATCATCAAAGGGCAATAACTCTAATAAGGAGTCAACTGACGATTTCAACCATAAGACTAATTTGTGGAACTTGTCCATTTGATCATTTTTGCATTTTAAAGTTTCTCTCTATCTATTATAGTTTTCAAGATAATAGGCAAAAATGAAAACAGTGGTAAAATTTGTCATTAAAGGGCAATAACTCCTACAGGAAATCATCTGACAGTTTTGACGTATATAGACAATTGGTAGAGCTCAACATTCTTAACAATTTTACCCTTGCAGATTTCCTCTATTTATAACGGTTATCAGAATAATAGACAAAACTTGCATTTTTAGCCACAAAGGCCATCTTTGTTGGCAGTCAGAGTCATCGGACACATTTTTAAAACTAAATACCCTAATGATGATTGTGGCCAAGTTTGGTTAAACTTGGCCCAGTAGTTTCAGAGGAGAAGATTTTTGTAAAAGTTAACGGACGACTGACGCCAAGTGATGAGAAAAGCTCACTTGGCCTTTCAGACCAGGTGAGCTAAAAATGACTAAGTCCAACTACCTGTCATTTTCAGAATATTTAAAAGAAATCAAAATCCTGTGGCCATGCACACCTTCATTATGTGTATGAACATCCTACAAAATATTAAAGTTGTACCTCCTAAACGTAGGAGGAGATAGCCGGACAAACAATGTATCCTAATACGGACGGACCGACGGACAGATGGACAGGGGTAAATTAATATGCTCCTTGACATTTTGTCGCGGAGGGATAACAAAATTTTTTGGTAAAAATAATCATTCAAGGGAAATACCAGCTATAAAGGAACAAACGCAATTTTGGTAATGTAACATTTTCGTAGATCTTACTATGTGGAACAATTTTGCAATTTGAAGTTTACCTCTATCTATCATAGTTTCTGCAAAAAACTTTAAAATTTATTAAAAATTGTCTTATAAGGACAACAACTCCTTTAAGAGATCAATTTACAATTTTGGTCAGTAAAATTATTTGTAGATCTTGACTTGAATATTTTTGCTGTTGCAATTTCGCTTTATTTATAACAGTTTTTAAGATTATAACCAAAAACAGAAAATTTCATTAAATTATTGTTTCAGGGGCAATAACTCAAAATAGGGTTTTACGATTGGTCTGAAAATTTCATGGCAGATAAATCCGTACATAATTATCAATTTGATCCATGTCAGTTTTGCTTGAACTGCTTTATTTTTTCAGATATACGCAAAATACTAGATACCCTAAGGATCATTCAGCCCAGGTTTTGTTGAAATTAGTCCAATATTTTCAGAGGAGAAGATCTCTGAAAAAGTTTACTCCAGAAGACGGAGAGCCAACTGATGCAAAGGGATTGCAAAAGCTGACATGGCTTTTTAGGCCAACTGAAACTAAACTCAAACTCTTAACCTTGCATATTTGATTACTTACCTAAGGGAGGTATTCTACAAACAGGGTGTGATCTTTTCCATCAAACACAAGAACATCAACTACACTTCCCCATACCTAAAAATTTCAAAAGTTTTATTTACCAGCATTAAGACAAACATATGCACAATATTGAATTCATTAATTTCCAGTCTCTCGAAACTGTCAACAAACAAGCAGGGCAATCACATTAAACAAATGTTTTTCTCACATTTTTCATGTCACAGCCTTGAAACCTGTAGTGTAGTAGTTGTTGTTTTTTCCTTCATTGTTGTAATAGGTCGTTGATTTTCTCTTTGGGATTGTTCCACATTTTATCATATCAGTGCTTTTTAAAGATTTTTATATTATTATATGGTATGGGTTCATTGTTGAAGGCTGTTTCGTCACCTGTAATTGTTTCTATCTTTGTCCTATAATTTGGAGTAAGGATATCTGTCTAATTATCAAGCATCCCACAACTCAATATTGCTGTATAATAAAAAATAAAATGATCTAATGATCACAGATAGATCATCCTGCTTTCTTACAGTATTGAATTTATTTCAACAGTAAGTGTTTAAAAGCACCAATGTGAAGGATGGGAAGTCTTGGGCTTTTCATTTTAAAGTCCAGATTGATTATAATCTATCATATTACTTTTCAGGAAAGGCTAACAACATCAGATATTTAGACATCTTTCAATTATTATGGCATGGAAATGGTGCTACATCACATTTCCAAAGAACATATTATTGCATGAGTATATTAATGCACTAATATCTTTTAAATTAAAATTTTACCAGCTATAGAGCAACTTAGAATTGACTTTTTCGAGAATGAAGTTGCTTTTTATTGATTCTCAAAAAAGTGTAGTTGGCCATTTAGGGTCAATTTTGGTTTTCACTATTTGTGTTTATTCATATCTTGAGTTTAAAAAAAAAACATTCCAGTTCATCATGATGGCTTGGTGCGAATTTTTCTCAAACACATTTAGCTATATAATGCATCTTGAAGACTCTTTACAAGAAAATCATTATTCTTCAAAAAAATACTCTGAACAAAAAAGTTACCAGGTAATAATTCGAAGTATGACTCCAAGAAATTGCCATGCCAGGTCACCAATTATTGTTTGTGATTGTCAATTTCCAACTCAGAGAATGATCTGTTGACACAGAGATATGACTTGCCTGTCAGAATAAAATTCAGAAAAAGACAATCTGATGGACAGCAACATTGCTTATTAATTCAGTCACTGGACCATGATCTAGTCGGCAAGGCCTGAAAATGGTCAACAAACTGAGATGTACAGACAGCAATGTAACTTTATAGAAAATATTGTCTATTGTATCAATCTACTTTTAAAAGCAGAAAACTTAACATTGAAAATTGCTAATTAGGTCACTGGACCATGATCTACAAGTAGGGGGCAGGGTCTCAAAATAGTCGTAAAACTGATATGTACTGATAGTTATGCAACTTAATAATAAATATCAATGATCTATCACAAGTAGTTCCTTTCAAACTAACTTAAGAGATAACTTAACAAGTGATGAAGTGTCACAGCAAAAGCATTCCCTATGTCTCGCTTTTTGCAACTTTCGTCGCAGACGAGACAAAATATGATACTGCCCTATTTTTCTTATGTATGTACATCTGGTAGACATGGTAGATAGAAGGATGTGAAGTTGCTTCAGATAGTGATTCAAAATACAGTTGGATTATGTACGATAGGTCCTATGGATTTTATCATGCACTTAGGTTTACTTAGGAATATATAAATACCAACTTCAATGTTCAAGCCAAATTCATGAAACTACAGTGATGTAATTTTGGTGAATTAAATAAAATGACACAATTTCAATTTAATTATATACAAGGCTTGAGCATGTCTTCCTAAATATTTACTTTATTTGAAAGATCAAGTTTAAGAGCACTCTGATTTATGCCTGGATGTCCAGACAAAAAATATAACTTCACGACAGAGATGGGTATACCAGCCTTTGTTTGTGTATGAGGATCATTGTCTGGCATGTCAGCAATTCTAAAGGAAATGAATTGGGTAAATGAGTTGTATAGGTAACTTACTACTGTGTTTCAAACACTTTAAAATATATTAGCTTTAGCATATTCTATATTACATTGACAAATGTTATTCAATAACTATAAAGCACTGGTCTTGGAACACTTGGTCATGTAAGAAGTACAAGCCAACTTGGCTGCCTTTAAAATACTTGATTCTGCACTATGGTAATCCTGATTCTTGCTACAGTTTGTGTAGTTGTTAATCTAAACACCTAGAAGGCTGTGAATTGTCTTTGAGTCATTGTTGACCCTGCTATCAATTCGGAACTTCTTGAGAATGCTGAAGGTCATTTAATGTCCACATTGGAGTGTGAAATAGTGAGTTTTTCTATGCTGAGTTGAAAGTTTATTAACAATTGTTTTCAGCATCAAACCTTCCTGATGTTTTGCCAAGAAGATTCCACTTTTCTATCAATACCAGTATTTACTTTAATCATCTTTGGCATGTACCATAAACAGGAGCCATATTGCATGTATTAAGTAATTAATATTCGATCACCTGTTGTTAGTTAAATCAAACTATTATCACTTGATAATTAGCATTGGGCCAGGGTTTAAATCAACACAATCGTAATGTCAGTTAAACCTGATATGTTCGATACTCTCCTTTTACATCTTCAAATTATAGAGGTAAATACCAGAGTATATCGAACTTTTCACTGATTCCCAGATGTCAACATTGGCACTTCGTTTTGGATTTTAAAAAACTTTTATTGGACCTGACATGATCGAAATAGTTTACCTGACAAAGGGTCTGTCTTGATAGCTATGCCTGACAGTCAGACAATTTTCAGCAGCTCTGGTTTGCGTTTAATTCCAAATGGGTATTTATAGTTTAGGTGGATTTCAGGAATGTGTTGTACCAAATATGATATCACAATACTGTGCTGTTGCAAAATACTGGGCTATTGCACAATACTGTGCAATTGAAGATTTCTACTTGAAACTTTTCAAAAATTTTTGAAGAAAAACAATTTGAACCCCCAAAAAATTGGAAAAAAAAATTCCACCAAATTTTTTGAATCCCTCCTTGGAGTAATTACCCCCAAACTCAATCCCAGCCTTCACTTTGTGGAATGTAGAGAGATCCATACACTTAAACACAAGTTATTGTCTGGAAACTAGAAAAATGTTTGTTTTTGGCTCCTTTTATGCCCCTAATTCCTCAATTTTTGGGGCAATTACCCCCAAACTCAATCCCAACCTTCCTTCTGTGGTATTGAACCTTCTGGTAAAATTTCATAGAAATCCATTCACTTTAACTAAAGTTATTGTCCAGAAATCAAATGTGTCTTCGGACGACAACGACATCATAGCATTATATGAACGCCAAAAACTTTTTGCAGCCGTATAATAAAAACTGTCAAAAACACAAAAACACAAATCACAAAAACTTAACGTTAACCAAAGGACCATGAAAATGCGGTCAAGGTCAGATGATACAAGTAGACAGACATGTACACCTCATTATCATTCCATACACCAAATTTGGTAGAACTAAGTTGCAATTAGTATTTGAACAAGAGTGCACATGCTGAAATGTCTCGCCTTCTTTACTAATCATTGATATTATGTTGATAGTCCTAAATATAAAGATTTACTACAACTATCACATAAACTAAACATGATCCAAGAAAATGAGGTAAAGGTCATATAAACCAAACAAGAAATACATGTACACCTTACAATCATTCAATACACTAAATATAGTTGACCTATTGCTTATAGTTTCTAAGATACAGACTTAACCAAGAAAACTAAACATTGACCAATGAACCATGAAAATGAGGTCAATGTCAGATCAACCATGCCAGGCAGACATGTACAGCTTGCAATCCTTCCATACAACAAATATAGTTGACCAATTGCTTATAGTATTAGAAAAACAGACCAAAACACAAAAACTTAACACTGAGCAATGAACCGTGAAAATGAGGTCAAGGTCAAATAAAACCTGCAAGACTGACATGTACATCATAAAATATTTCCATACACCAAATATAGTTGACCTATTACATATAGTATTAGAAAAAAAGACCAAAACTCTTAAAACTTAACTTTGACCACTGAACCATGAAAATGAGGTCAAGGTCAGAAGACACCTGCTAGCTAGACATGTACACCTTACAATCATTCCATACAACAAATCAGAGATGCAACTAATCGTCGGACCTGTCGGCCCGAGGGGGCAGAAATTGAGCAGGTCCGGCAAATTGGGCTTTTGTGCAAGACCTAATGACCGGCAGGCAGTTCTCTAGGATTTTAGTAAGATTTAGCATTTTTGGTGCTAACCTATTAGTGGGGAATTGAAATTTGCCTTGTTGAAAATTTATTAATTAAAGTTAGTAAGTATGTTTGCTTTAGATGATTCAAACATCAAACTTTTGCGGTAAACAATGGGGATACATGAGATTGGGGAGAGAAACGGCAGTTTTCATTCTTTCTGTAACTGTAACACGAATCTTCTTCCAATAAAGGGGCACCTCAATTGATGAGTAATTATCCACCAAAATAAAAGTTAATGTATCTGAACACTTAAAATGTGACATTTATTATATGAAAAGTAGTCTTCCATTAAAACAAAATTTTGTGTACCAACATAATGGTAAAAAAATTATAAAATTTTCAAATGTTGCTTTTTGAAGTTTAAACATATTTATTCATGCAATTTACAAATATATCAAAATATACAAGGATAACAAAAAATAAGATCTGGAAACAAGCTGCACACAGCTTAAATATCAATCTGATTGATTTTTGTAAGTACATGTATCCCTGTGATGAGAGTTGTAACTGGGAACTTTAAAGAGGGAAATTTAAAACTGAATTGACTTTTCAGTCCTCACTTTCCTGAGAAAGTTGTAATCAATTAAAAATCTTAGAGCACTGTCAAAAAAAATGGAGAATGGTCCTAGCCTGATGTTCAGTGGTACACAATAAAAAAATTTAAAATATATTGTAGTAATTATTAAATAAAAGAACTCAATTGAATTTTAGATATTTTCTAAAAATAA